ACTACAACAGCTAGTTCTAATGCCACAACAAACGCTAATCAAACTTCACACAATCCTCAAGGGCGGGTGACCACTCAAGGGCAGGTGACCACTCAAGGACAGGGAACCAGCCCAACAACACAAGGACAGGCAACCAGACCTATAACAACGAAAGGGGGCACAACCCAATCTTCCCAGAAACCACAAACAGCACGGAGAAATACAGGGACGACACAAACCACTAAAACAACAACCCATGCATCTGCCACAACCTTCACTGTGTCAACTGTTACATTATTATTGAGCGTTGCTTTGTCTCTCTTGCATTAAACTTGGCAGAAAGATGCCCCGACATCAAGGACGTTCTAAGCTGGCGTTAAGATCGTTCGGAACAAAACCACGCGAGTTTAGAACAGAGAGTGTCGTTTCTAGTGTTTCTTTTGAGTGAAATACAAATTAATTGTCTATTTTTACATGTTTTATTTCATTTTGTTCAAGATTTTATCATTAGTTCTTCCGTACTTAAAAAATATCCCTTAATTCGTTTCGTTAGAAAAAAAATCAACTTAAGAAGTAAAGATGGAAATAAAGATGGATGGATTTTAACATCCATGCCTATTTAGCAAGTGTAAAACTAAATTTCAGTCACAAATATATTTATAATTTGAACAGTAATATTTTTTGAGCTTTAATAAATGATTCCTTTTGCTAAAATGAATGTGTTCAGTGTCTGTAAGATGGTTAATATGTATAGTTCTATATACAGTCCTATACTTCTGAACCCTATCTGCAAGTTATCTGTAAAAGATAACAATACCAACAGGCAACATATCTCTGATGACTTAGATACACAGTGATAATGTGCAACATAAAATTATTACTAGATATGAAAATTAATAGATAGAGTGCATATAGATATGCCATTTTATATAGAAATTGCAATTCCATTATGCTTTCACAAAAATAATAATACATGCACTGTGTAATTTAGCTATGTAAGGAGAAATCAAATCCCATATAATATTGGCATATTTCTGCAAAGTATAGAAGGTTCTTTTTAAACATGATGATATGCAAAATGAATATGTCAGATTGCAGCATATATAAGTCGACGTGCAAGATAGCAATGAAATATATGGAGATAATGAACAGTATTCAAGCTCAAAAGTCCCCGAACAGTACAAATCAGGAGCAGAAAAAACATGTACACATAGGTGAGATCTAGTGCCATGGAAGAGTGAGCATCACCTGCTGACCAGTCACACCCGCCATGTGCTTCTTGAAATCGAAAAATAACGGGAAAAATCCGTTGACATTTCAGTTGGAAAATCAGGGTCTGGCAATTAGTAAGAAAAAATGGCAGCATTTGACTTAATTATATAAATTGTATCAGCTGACAACGTGACCATTAAACTTACCAAATGATGACTTTAAACAAGACTGTTGATATTCTTGTTTCATCACTTTATTTGTCAAGAAAATTAACTCGGTTATGAAATTATTCATTCGTAGGGCAAGCTCTTGCGTATTGAATCAACTGAGAGATATAAACCCCGTTTATAGGTAATAAAGTCATCATAAAGCTTTGTAGTTACATTATACCATAAGCGTCTTTTTAGTGAAATATCAAAATATAGAACATACTTGTCAGACTGACTGTGGTATCTTCTTATGTTTCATCATCCTCTGGACGATATCAGTAGTATAGAGTGGGGCTTTTCGTGCTACTTTGAGGCACTAACGAATTTGAGGCACCCACGATAGATCACGGAAGTGTAGTATACCAAGAGAACAAGTTCAGGAAGTCAAAATCGGATATGAATAGATCAATAACACGACTGTTTTAATCCTTTTAACAACTTAATCCGTTGATCAATACATAAATATTAATAAATGAAACTAATTTGACGAAGATCATGTCAATGAATAATTTAAATCACAATGTATGGGGATATAAGAACAAATTTAATGAAATGTATCCGTATGTATTTCCCGAGAATATGTATGAAGAGTAGGGAAAGTAAATGCATTTTAATATTTGTTTAAATTAATGTATCAATACAGAATACATGAATCGGTAAGGATTTATGAGTAGTGTATGCATTATCATTTCACTCTGATTGTTACAGTCATAAGATGAGGTTGACAAACGTCGTGTATCAAGCAAATCTTAATGTAAAATTTAATCTCGATGTTTTAGTACATCAGTTAAACAATGTACGATACGATCCTCGTACTTTTCCAGGTATAATATATCAGAATAGGAAAATTGGTGGTAACTGTTTAATTTTTTCTAATGGTAAGATAAACTGTAATGGTAGCTGTAATCATTTCAAAACTGGTCTAAAGAGACTGAGACAGTATGCACGCATTTTACAAAGACTGGAATACCCCGTACGTTTGAGCAACGTTCGCCTCGTCACCGCTTCCGCAGTTCACAAATTATCAGGAGGAATAAATGTGAACTCGTTATCACCTATGTTAAACTTTACTTACGACCCGGAGTTGTTTCCTGCTGTTATGTTACGCCGACAAGGGATTCATTTTACATGTCACTTACGAGGCACTGTACTCATCACCGGTATCAAAAAGTCTAAGGATCTAGACGAAGTGGTGTATCCAACAATTCTGGAAATCGAGATGTGTCTATAAGAATACTATTCTTCTTGCATACCTCAATATATTAAACATGACCTACGAAGAATATTTAAAATCTATATATTACGACGCCAAACACCCCGGATCTTTCGGGGGTCTGGAAAAGTTATATCGTGCCGTAAGAAGAGAAGGAAAATATGTATTGTCTCGAGCCAAAATCAAAAAATGGTTACAGAAACAGGAAACATTTACTTTACATAGACAAATCAATAGAAAATTTAAACGCACGCAGGTGGTTGTTCCCGAGATCGGTTACCAATGGGATGCGGACACAGCTGTCATGACCTCGTTTCTCAAAGACAATGATAGCTATGGATACTTTCTTTTCGTTATTGATGTCTTTTCTAAATACGCGTGGGCTGTACCCTTAAAGTCTACAAAGGGTGTCGAAATGGTACATGCTTTATCCTCTGTTTTTTCATCAACCACACCTCCTCAAAAATTAAGAACGGATAAGGGTTCCGAGTTCTACAATAAACCGGTTCATGACTTTTTAAAAGAGAAACATGTAACTCATTTCTTTTCTAGAAATGAAAAGAAAGCCAATGTTGCAGAAAGGGGTATCAAAACCATCAAATCTCGTTTGAGTCGTTACATGACTCAAAATCAGACTCACCGATGGGTGGACGTGCTACCTAAAATCATTCAAAGTTATAATGCTACCTATCACCGCACTATTAAAAGAGCTCCTAACCAAGTCAAAAAGAATGACGAACCTTATATTTGGATGGATGCTTACGACTCAGTTTCAAAAAACGTAAACCCCAAACCAAAGTTAACAAAGACGATTCACTTTAAATTCAAAATTGGTGATTTCGTTCGCATATCTCACATTCGCAAACCTTTTGATCGCGAATACGATGAGCGTTGGACCGGTGAACATTTTATCGTCAAGTCTCGCTCAATCAAACAGACCATACCTATCTACGAGTTACGGGACATAGACGGAGAAGATGTTGAGGGCACCTTTTACGAAGGAGAACTTCAAAAAGTTACCATAACTGACGACACTATGTATAGAATCGAGAGGGTCATAAGATATAAAGGCAATCAAGTCTTGGTTAAGTGGTGGGGTTGGCCTAAAAAATTTAACAGTTTCATTCCTAGGTCATCTTTAAAATACTATAAGAAGAGCTGAATCAAGTTCTTTTATGAAGTCAAAAGAAGAAATATGGAACAGTCACGAGTGATGCAAAACGCCGATTTTTTAAGGCAACTCTCGCATGCCGACCATAATCGTCAAGCAGTCTTAATTACAACAGCAAACAGACGACAGATATCTGCTATAAGCGATGTTGTTCGACATCTTTTGAATAACGACATTCCCGTCTTATCTCACGACCGCTCTCATTTTCGACACCAACGTCTTGTAATGAGACATTTAATTAGCGCGCGAATTTCAACTGCACGAAAGAAAGAGATTTTATTAATTCATCGTTCACTCGTTCCAAGACTATTAAGAGATTATTATTTAGCGAGAATTCTCATTTTTACCCTCAGAGCGAGAGAAATGTAATTTTTATAAGAGTGAAATAACGAGACAGATGTTTGATAAGACAGAAACATGACAGTGTATTTATTTTTAAACAACAATGATTCTACAAATGTTCATCCATCCAATAAACCGGATGATTTTATCGTAAGTCTCCCAAAACCATACGTATTAGATGGTTGTTGGGAGTGTGGACTCTTGGAAATGAACATGCAATTGTCCAACGACATATCTTTGTCTCGGTTGCATGTGTGTTGCGACATAGTAGAGGATAGTTATGTCAGAAATAACATGTTACCCATCTTGAGAGCTCAAGAGCTGACCCCCAAACAAAGTCTCATGCAGATAACCTATGTCCAGCCATTTTATCTCAGTGTTTCAAAACAGGAAATCCGTAGCATAAGAATATTTATAAGAAACGATCAGCTGCAGGCCATACCTTCTAAAATTCAAAGACTTTCCTGTGTCTTGTGTTTGCGCGAGAAGAAACCATGGGATCTGTAGAGGTATACGACTACAAGAAAATGCAATGGGTACCTTACGTACCCGATTTTAATAAGTGGATACGTCATTTTGAAGATATATCAGCGGGGAGAGTCCGACCCGATTTTAAAGGTCGATACATAGTAGGGAGCGGATCTCGTCATAGAACCGACTCGCCAACGCGACAGCAAGAACCCAACGTGAAACTGGTGACTCCCGTAGCACAGGCCATAGAAATGGCGAAATCGGAATTACAGCGCGAAAACGAGGATGCTCCCATGACTCCTAAATCTATAAGAAAGACACAAGCATACCATCCGCCCGGCAAACGCGACAATAAACCTAAGTCCAAGAAACCTAAATACAATACACAATTCGACGATTAGCCATGGATGAAAATCATTTGAATCAACTCTCCCTTTTTGAATCCCCTCCCACCGACACAACCATTCAAACGAGAGAATGGGTGGAATTTAGACCTATCAATCAAATATCAGAGTACTCTGCTTTGGAATTTAACATACCACCACTCTCTACGGGTTACATGGATCTTAAAAATAGTCGGCTAAAGGTCAAATTGAGAATACTGAATTCCTTGAACAATCCCATCACAAAAGAGGATGCTGTGGGTTTGACGAATCTACCTTTACATACCATATTTGCTCAGGTAGACACCAGTCTCCAGCAAACCCCTGTATCTCAACTGGGCACAAATTATCCCTACAAGGCCTACATCGACACCCTGTTGACTACCTCCGCCTATAACTACGGAGTGCGATATTCTCAACTTTTCATTAAGGACTCCAACAATCCCGACGATGCCGATCCTATCAAGGGCCTGAATTCAGGATTGTACCTACGATATTTATTTACTAAAGAAGGCCAAATACTAGATTTGGAAGGCCCCCTGCAGATTGATCTCTTCCAACAGGAACGTTTAATTTTGAATGGAGTATCACTTTCGCTAAAATTATGGCCCAGTAAAGATGCCTTTAAACTGATGTCAGTGTCAGGTTTAGATTACAAAGTTCAGATTGTCGATGCCAGTTTTAAGCTATGTATCCAAAGGCCGAATCCTGCTCTGACCATGGCTCATGTCAAAATGTTAGAAAAATCTCCTGCCGTGTATCCTTACCTGTTTTCTAATCTAAAAATAGCCTCCATTGCCAAGGGAGAGTTCAGTTTTACCATGGACGACGTGTTTCAAGGGGAAGTTCCCTCCACGCTCATTCTGGGACTGGTATCTAGCAGTGCTTTTAGTGGAGATTATAAGAAGTCACCCTATAACTTTCAACATTTTGATTGTAATTTTGTAGCTTTCTACGTGGACGGACAGTCCTTTCCCGCAAAACCTCTACAACCTAACTATAAAACCGATACTTAAGTAGATGCTTACCACACACTTGTATCTGGGAGAGAACAAGTCGATGTAGATCGTGAGGAGTACCGAAAAGGTAATGCCCTGTACGTATTGGATATTAATCCTTATATCGTGTTCAACACCAAAAGAAAAGGTCACTGTCGCCTAGAACTCAAATTCGCTATACCCTTACCGGAGAGTGCCACCTTAATTTTATACGGAAAGTTTCCCCAAGTGCTCCACATTGACCAGTCTAGAAGCATTATATTCAAATGAATAACTTTCAACTGGAACGATATTTAAAGAAATACCACGTTAAAGTTACATGTGCTGACGAACTCCCAAGAATTTTTAAAAAGAATAAATGTAGGTTCTGGGTCGTCAATACAGACAGATGTGGAGGGAGAGGAATACATTGGGTCACCTTTTATTTCCCTGAGACAGGACCTGCAGAGTTTTTCGATTCCTTTGGAAAGCCTCCAGAATATTATCACAACAGATTCAAATACATTCTAACAATAAATGCTCCGAGATATAAATATGTTTGTTCTACACTCCAATCGGATACTTCCAGCGTGTGCGGACATTACTGTATCTATTATGTCTTACAACGAATAAAGAAACGTTCTATGAATAATATTATTCTTGACTTTAATGTATTAAATTTGCATGCGAACGATCAGTTGGTCACTGATTTTGTAAAAACTTTGAAGAAATAAACGAATAACCTCGTCTGTTTTTTTTCCTTGTTATTTCTATTCAGGGATTGATAACCCTACAAAATTTAAATAAAACTTTTTATTACTTTAATAAGATTAAATTTAGTAGAATGTCACACCGTGATATGAGAAAAATTTTTAACTCCGACAATAGGAAAAATTTTAGCATTACAGAGTAAAGCTTATACATGTAATTACAAAAAAAAAATATTAAAAGTATTGGTTTCCCGAATCAGAATATCAATAAGTTCTTTTGTTTAAACATTTATACTTAAAGGTCTCAAAAAAATTTACAAAATAAAATGAAGATGTTTTACTTAAAACAAACAAAAAATCTGAGGGATAGATCTCATTAATGAGAAAAAAATCAATATAAATTAATACTAAAGTAATAATTAAATAAATTAATTAATAAAACTCTCTCTCTCTCTCTTAATATATAAATAAAAAGTTCCTTTGTTTATATTTTTTATTCAAAGAAATCAAGAAATACATTAAAATCGAATCCATGTCTTATGGAGTTTATATCGAGAATTATATTTTGAAGCTTTATTTTTAAATGTCTTTTTGGAAGTCGGTTTATCTGGAATCAGAGGTTGTAAAGATTCATCCTTAGGTACATCTGTACATTTCATCTCCTCGTCTTGGACTTTGTCAGTCTGAGTGTTCATGTCACTCGTCGCATTTTCTGAAGGTAATAATTCTGTTGATGAGATTTCCTCAGATTTTTCTGTACTTTTATCATTGTGTAGGGAATCTTGAAGAGACACGAGTCGCATGTATTTATCATACGGTACCAATATCGATTTCTGCATCACGTCCACCATTTTTTAAGGAAAGGTCTTACGATTTTTAATAATATTATAATAGCTTTATCTTTTCTTCGTAAGTACTGAAGTTTCAGTTTACGAGAAGTTTTCTTATCCCCCAGAACTAGAAGGAAAGACTTGTATTTTTTCAAAGTTTTTTTCTCTTCCGGGTTAAGTAAAATCACACTGTGAACGACGTTTGCTGCTATTTCTCCAAGTACTCTTAGTTGATCTTTAGTAACGGAACGTAACAACAATTTCCGTTGCTTAGGATTTGTTTGCAATAAAAAGTTAAGAAAATATTGTTGTTCACTGACGGAGGAACTCATTTTATTCTGTTTACAAAAAAGGAGTCGCCTTCTTATAAAGTCGTATACACCACAGGGTCTTCTCCCGGAAATATGTTTGTTCTTAGTCTGTATTTATCATCAGCTTGAGGTGACGTGTCCACTACGAGGTAGCCAAATGATTGTTTTGTAGCATCTCGATAAGCTTCAACGAGGAGTCGAGAGCGACCCGGATATAACTGACGACTCAATATAGACACCTGTGAAACGTCTCTTGCATTTTTCATTAAAACCAAATAATACGTATTCAGTGCTATAGTTCGAGATTTTGATCCTCTGGGAAATAAATTCTGTGTTATGAAAATCACGCTGAGGCGACGATGATGACAGCCTTGGGTAAATAATACTTCCATGTCTGTATTTTGTACGACCCTATGCATTAAATCATCTAAAATAATCAGTGTGTGCTCTCGCACTGAGGTGAGTTCTTCTATCGTTTCAGTAGATGGTAGACCGTGATGTAATTTCAGATTTATAAAACGTCGTTCCATGTCATCAAAAAGAGGCTGGTGTATTCCGTAGCAATACAAAATTTTTTTAGGGGGTTCCCCTGCATACATTTTATCTAAATGAGTTAATAATCGATACACAAATCTGGTCTTCCCACATCCTGTTTGCCCACTAATACACATACTCGAACATGGTTGAAATGGTATAGACATTGTCTTGCCCATGGAATGTAAACCGGAAAGATTTCCCAAGCACCATCTATCGGTGGAATTGTTTTCATTACCTTGAGAATCCTATTTTTAGAGCGACTCTGAGTAACACCAGAGACATATACGTCTCTGGTAACGCCGACCGCAAGGATACATGTAGCCATAGTCTAAAACAAAGATCGCGTCACATACAAGTATAAACAAACAGTTACACCTTTTCTAAACAAGAATAGATAAGGGTTACCCCATATCCAAAGATATTCGACTGTTAGATTTAATATGTTTAACAGTGTTAATGACGTTAATAAAAAAACTGCACTGCCTAATTATGGAACTGTTGTAAATATCGTGATTCCATAGCATTACGGTCACCCAGTCTCCTTACAAACAGTACACATAGGCCTACATGTACCTGTGTCCGCAAGACCAATTTTAGCCTTGGTCTACACACGTGCAATGGAGCGGTCACACGCATCCAGCGAGCTCGGATAAACACGTTTTGTTTTACCGAGAAGTTACGGTGTCAGACAAAACTTTTCTTTTCTTTATTAGATCATATAAATACGAATTCTGATTAATAAAAATTATACAATCCCTGTTGAACTATATATAGTTTGTTCTAACATTTTCATCTGCAACAACTTGTGTTTAAAATGGCCGGGTTGGGAAAATCAGGTCCGGGTCGGAAAATTCTAAACTGAAAACATGGAAAACCTTTTTTGTTTTGAAAATAACTGAAACATACTAATGTATTTGTCGCAGAAATTACTTACATTATTCAAGCAGGGATAGACATTAACTTTTATATTCACTTGTCCTTTGGGCAAGTGCACTACAATTTTGAGTTGTCCGAACGGAAAACTTGGTTGCCCAAAATTTGAAAGAAGAAAATAACAGTTACTGTATTTCAATTTGTTGTTGTAAATAATAAAGAGTGACAAATTAACTCCGGCCTATTTGGAACATAGTTGGCGGAATTATATTTTGATATGACGGTGATGCTACATTTTGTAAATATATCTTAATTTTTCCTTCATTTACTATCCTGTAAACACACACAGCAAATGCACTAATAATATTTCCTTACAATTTTTTTTTTGAACTTTTTTCAAAACAACACAGTTACCATGTTGGAATCAAGCATCGAGAACCACTTGTGTTCTTTATATTATGTAATTGAATAGATAAACTATTCTATTACATGTTTATCTATTTCGTTAGAATGTAACGTTAGTTCATATAAGTTGTCAGACGGAGAGCACATTTTTGTAAACTACATGCATGTACGAAGGAAAACAGAATACCGAACCCGAATCCTGAATAAAGGTACAGATATGATCCAGAAACGCTACCGAGGATTCCGAATGCAAAAACAATGTCCTGATTATGGCGGAAATCAACTGTTCAATTTATTGTTTTGTTTATAAACTAATGTAAGATTTAAAAAAATGTTTCTATCAGAAATATCCACTTGCCCGATCGGACAAGTACATTGATGGTTTCACTTGTCTGAACTGATGTTTTACTTGTCCCGGGCAATCGGAAAACCGTTAATGTCAATCCCTGTCAAGTTCTATATATAATGGTATATGCTGAACTTCAACACGAACCCAAATCTCCAACCCAGTTCTCGTTTTGCCACACATACCCTACAGTTTACAAAGTGTAAACACGAGCAGGCCAGGGATTGAAAATTCCGTCATTTAATTATACACATACACAGAATGATTAATTTTTTCTTTAAGAACAAATTGTATGATAATTAACGGGCTATAAACATGTACTTAATACAATTGTTGATATAGTATTATCAATTCATCGGTGAAAAGATATGAATCGAAGAATGACCTAATTATTCTCTGTTGTCAAACGTAAAAAAAAGGATGAGGAGGGAGCGAGCGTAGGAATATTGATATTTTTTATTTGCATTTCGGGGGGAAAGTGACTTTCTAATGATATTTTGACGTTATTTTTGATTTCTTCAACGTATGACATACACAACTAAATACTCTTATCATGAACAATGATGTTGTATCTACTTATCATGATGGAATTTTTTTGGTCGGACCAATATGTGTGAGCTGCCGCTGAATACAGTTATATATCTTGCAAAGATAGTATGCATTGATCGAATATATGATAAACAGGATTTGTCTAATATTTTTAAAATGACGTGTATTTAAATACATTTCCTACCGAATATGTAAAAAAGAATGTGATTTACTCTTAGTTTTTCATCAGACAGAATATTAGGAGATTTTGTTACAACAAACGAAGATAAAGCTTGTTTTACAATATGCTGAGCCTTTTCCTACCGATTCTCACACCAAAACAAGAACGAGAAAAAAGGAAGTGGTGGATCTAGAGGGAGTTTGAGGGGGGTGGTTAACATCCGCGGAGAGTGATCAAGGAACCCCACTTATCAATTGCTTCTTTTATTAAAGTAAAAACTATCTCTAGTTATAGATAAGTTTAAACTTTAGTTTTATA